TGTCTTGCATATTGAAGCTTACTCTTTAAAGTATGTTGAAGACATACCAAGGAAAAGAATGAAATGATGAACAAAAGGATTCTCTTTTTTTAAATATAAAATGAGGAATGCATTTCTGTGTTTTTATTTCCCTGTACTGTTGACTGAATCCTAAGTTATGGTGAGTGATCAAGGAGATGTGGGCAACAGATGAAAAATCTTCCAAACAGTAATGGAGAAGAAGGAGTTATAACTTGAGCCTCCTAGCATCTGGTTAGAAAGCAGCTTTTGAGACTAAGTTAGCCATTTGAAAAATGGTGCAATAGAGGCATATGCTAGGACAGAAAATGGATAATAAATGGTCAGGAAAATACTTAACTCCAGTTGTGGCATTTGCTTTTCACAATGTAAAGTACTTTTATCAGCAGACGCTCGATGGAGAATAAAAGGAAATTGCGAAAGTACAATGACTTTCATTACCTCAAAGTTCCACATGACTACAACTCTTTTAAGTCTTTTCAATGTAGTTATTCCTGTAAGAAACACTGCAACTTATTTGTGTACATCAATGCTGCAAGGGTGAAAATAAAATAAATTACCAGACTTCTTTAAGCTTTTTTGAGGGATAATCATTTTCCAAGACACTGTGGGAAATCTCCCAGTCATGCCTCAGTTGCGTGTATTAATATGGGCATTGTGGTTTAACAGATGTTCACAGCCAATATTAATCTTTTCAATGCAAGTGGATCATTTTTCAGTTGTGTTAACTAAAACAGCATTTGTTGGAACTTGGAAATTTTACTGCAAATGGTAGGAGGGCTTCATTATAGAGAACGAAATAGTTAATGTTTTGAGCATGATGCTATTTCACAGAGTTAAAAATGATCAGTTATTGAAGTAATTTTGATAGAGGAAAACGAAAATAGGTAAAGTCTGTGATCAAAGGGAGAAATTAGTCAAAAAACCTGACAACTTGATATAAAAGCCAAGATATAGAAGTTACTGAAGTAACATAATTTATGAAGCTTGCAAAATTAATTTTTAGATTTTCCCCTGAAAAATCATGGAAACAAATGAGAATATTTGCCAGCTACTGTCAGTACTGATCAGAACTGCCTCCATGGGGTAGGATGTTGAGAGGAATATAGTTAAGGTGATGGCTATGGTTATTCTGCTTGGGAAGGAGCATTGGCATATCTGGGAGTCTTACCTATTGTTATTGTGGTCCTGGTCATTTTGATGAATGGCTTTCAGAATAACCTTTGATTCTATAGGTTTTTCTTAGCTAAGTTAACAATGTTTCAATTTCAAGTAATTTGGGACAGGTACTTACAGTTTATGCATATCTCTTGTGACCACAAGGGCAATACTCTGCTACTGTTGTTATCTCATTTTCTCAGCTTTTATGTGCAAGCAAGGAAAGGAACCAGTGCAGCAACAACAATTACATTTCCGCCTTGCTGCAAATACCAGTTGATGACAATAGAAATATTACATGTATAGTGCAGCCTGGAGTGAAGAATTTCATCATGGAAGTAAAGTTAATAAGTCTCCAACTAATGAAGCATTTTCCCCCTTATTCCTGTTGACTCCAGTTTTGCTAAGACTCATTGATGACACATTCTAAGAAATGCTACTTTGATGTCAAGGGCAGTCATTTTCACTTCACTTCTTGGGTTCAGCTCTTTTGTTTATGCTTAGAACAAGGTTGTAATGAGGTTGTGAGCTGAGTTGTCCCAGCAGAACCCAAACTGAGCATCAGAATGTAGATTATTGCTGACTAAATGCTACTAGGTACACCTGTTGATGACACTGTCTGACAGTTTCTTGATGATCAAGAAAAGCTTACTGGGACATAATTGGAAGGGCTGGAGTTACCCTGCTTTTAGTGGACAGGACAAACATTGGCACTTTTCCAATTTGTTGGGTAGATGCCAATGTTGTATCTGTGATGGAACAGTATGGCTTGGGGCACAGCTAATTCCAGATCGCATCTTCAGTAGTATTTAGTACTTCAGTACTGCTGCTGGAATGTTCTCAGAGCCCAAAGTCTTTGCAGTCTTCGTGCCACCAGCCATTTCTTGACACTATGTGGAGTGAATTGAATTGGATGAAGACTGGCATCTGCGATGTGAGGGGCCTCTGGAGGAGGCAAAGTGATCATTCACTTGGTACTTCTGACTTAAGATTGTTGCAAATGTTTTAGCTTTATCTTTGACACTGATGTGCTGGGCTTCCATGTGATTGAGGGTGTGGTTGTTTGTGGAGTTTCTTTATTCAGTGAGTCGTTTAATCATCGACCACCATTCATGACTGGATGTAGCAGGACTGCACAGATTATATCTTATCTGTTGGTTGTGGGATCCTTATCTTTGTTCATTGCATGCTGCTTACACTGTTTGGCATGCACGTACTCCTGTGTTATATCCTCACCAGGTCGGCACCATTGAACAAGAGTTGATTACCCAGCTTATTGATAATGGCAGAGTGGGGGATGTGTCGTGTCGAGCCATGAAATTACAATTTGTTGCTCAGCACACTTCTGCTGATGGCCCACCAGTGCCTCATGGATGCCCAATTTTGAGGTGCCAGAACTATTCAAAATTTATCCCATTTTAGCATAGTAACAATGCCACACAGCGCTGTGGAGGGTATCCTCAAAGTGATGATGGAATTTTGTCTCCACAAGAATTGTGCAGTGGTCATTCCTATCATTGCTATGGACAGTTACTTAAGTGACAAGTTTATCGGTGAGGAAAAGGCCAAGTAATTTTTTTCCCTCTTGTTAGCTCCTCACCACCACCTTTGCTGCAGGACTGTTCATATCACTGTAACATCTGTCTTAGGATCCACAGCGTAGAGATTTGGCCAGAAGCTAAGTTTTTTTAATAGATGCCAAATATATTATTACATCAGAAAATATATTGTGCTGATGATTAACCTCTTGTGTTTTTAACACCATCATGTTAACTGCATTAAAAAACATATATTGTGGATGCTGGAAATCTGAAATAATAAGAGTGCTGGGGAAACTCAGCAGGTCTTGCTGCATCTGTGAAGAGAGAAACAGAGTCAACACTTCAAGTACAGTATGACTCTTCACTTTCTGTAGATATGGTTATAGAGACAATTGCTGCTTGGTGTGTAAAATTTTCTGATATACCATGTACATTTTAAATTTGACGTTTGTTTCTACATCTCATGATATTCAGTTCAGTGACTTCCTTCTTCATGTAATAAATTCACCTGAACCCTGAGAATTTTGGAGGCATGGATGAAAAAAAGGTGTAAATTGCTGAACAGAAGGTCCAATAAAAATCTTTTTTCTGTCTGATTTAAAAATGTTAACTGCTCCCAAATATATTTTAGTTATAAATCCTATGGTGTCAAATGCCAATTTGATCCTGATAGTATTCTCATAAGTTCTCAATTAAAAAGTCAGTACTTGTACTTTTACTGAGGCTGATGCTGTCTCATTACATTTTTTAAATCACATTTTTTTAAATAAGCTATTACATATTTCTAAAGTGCGCATGGCACAATCCTCTTGGAAGGCAATTGGTACATCTCATGCATGTGTGTAAATATTATCTTAAATGAGTGGAGCTGGGCTCCTAGAGCAGCAAACAGACCATCCTGTGCAACTAGCTTGTGAGTCATCAAATAACTCTTCACATTAGAGCATAGGTAGGAACAAGAGATAGCTAAACACAGTGGCTTAGTGGTTAGAACTGCTGCCTCACAGCACTTGGGACCTGGGTTTGATTCCACCCTCAGGCGACTGTGTGGAGTTTGCACGTTCTCCCCGTGTCTGTGTGAATTTTCTCTGGGTGCCCTGGTTTCCTCCCACAGTCTTAGGACGTGCAGGTTAGGTGAATTGGCCATGCTAAATTACCCATAGTGTTCAGAGATGTGTAGATTAGGTGGTTTATAGGGGGATGGGTCTGGGTGGGATGCTCTGAGGCTTGGTGTGGGGCTGAAGGCCCTGATTCCACACTGTAGGGATTCTACGATCTATGATCATAACCTGAGCTCAAACTGCAGTTTAGTAAGACCATTACTGATCTTGTACCTAAAAACCACTTTCCTGCCCTGACCCTATATACTTTAATTTAGTTATCACTGAATAGCAGGATCCAAATGTAGAACTGAGTTCTGTTATTTGTTACATCACAATGTTTTTGTTTGCCTAGTGGTAGGTGGTTCATACTTCCTTGCTGATATTACATATGATGTCTTAATGATCAACGTGCTATCCATTGGTGGCATAATCCATATGGGAGCTAACAAAATCCACCTCCATTTCTACTTCTAAAATTACAATGGATGCCAAAATTATGCTAATCAATAGCCAGGCATTTTCAAAGATCATTATAAATCTTATGAAGATCAAAATACCAGGCTTGAGCAATAACTGGAACAGAATTAAATTGTACTGATGTTAAACATACAATTCTTACCTCAAACATACGCATAGGAACTGGTTAGCATTTTAAAAGTAGGAAATGCAAATTTCCTGTGGTGAAATACACTGCATTGCACTATCCTACTGTTTCCAGTAGCAGAAGTGAGCATGATCATTGGTCAGAGTGAACTGATGTGCTTCCTTACTTCAGTAAGATACATATCCTGTTTGTCTTCATGCCACGTTTTTATCTGAGCTGTGTTTCACTTCTGAAATTGTTATCTGCTATGAACTGGACTTTCAACCACAAACACTCTCTGAATTACTTTATTACAATTTGTTGGTGCCTCTAACCCTTTATACAAATACAGTACAAAAAAATTATTGATTTATTGAGTCCTTCCCCAATTGCCTTCCACTTCCATGTTGCAAAATTCTTACTTGCAAGTTCACCATTTTAAAGTTGTAAAGTATTTCACAGAACTCCCAGCAAAGAAATAGAGGTGCATGAACCTTTTTATGTTTTATATTTTATTCTCTACCTTAAAATATAATAAAAAATAACCTTGAAAATTTTGCAAGATAACTAAATCGAAATATTATTGCTTTATTTCAGCTATTTCAAAGTATGAAGACTTTGGTTTTAAACTAGCAGTGATTGCTTCCATTGTCAGCACAGCTGTAATTCTATTGATAAGCATGGCTTTTTTAACCAATTGTCTTATCAAATGTGTGAAGAAAAGTGAAAGAAGGAAACAGCAGAGGTAAGGATGTATTGATGAACAATTTGTTAACTGTGATCTTATAAGGATTATTGTTTCCTTGTTGCCATTTTCTCCCATTTCGTCTGTTAGAATCATAGAATCCATACAGCGCAGAAACTGACTATTTGGCCCATCAAGTCCACACCAACCCTCGAAAGGGCATCCCACCCAGACCCATCCCACTACCCTATAACCCTGCATTTCCCGTTGCTAATCCACATAGCCTGCACATCTTTGGACTGTGGGAGGAAACCAGACACCCAGAGGACACACATGCAGACATGAGGAGAATGTGTAATCTCCACGCACAAGTTGCCCAAGGGTTGAATCAAACCTGGGGCTGTGAGGCAGCAGTGCTAACTATTGAGCCACCATGCTGCCCTGTTTGTGAAATGCAATTCGGGACCATTAGACAGGTGATCACAGCATGAGCTTAGACAGTGAGTGTGGGCAGACTGACTGACTGTAGGAAGAGCGAAAATCAAGCTTGATTGTGCTCACGTAAAAGCAGAGCTCATTGGATAGGCGCCAGCAGCAGGAACCCTCCCCACTTTTGGCTTCATAACCCAATATTCACATTTATGACAACACTTCCATTAGATAGTAAGACATAGGAACAAAAGTAGTTCATTCAGCCCATATCTGCCATTCATTGAAATAATGCTGATCTGATAATCCTCAATTTCCCAGCTGTACCCTCATAATTCTTGATTCTCTTACTGATTAAAAATGTCTGTCTCAGCTGTGAATATAATTAATGAGCCAGTTTTAACAGCCCTCTGTGGTAAAGAATTCCAGAATCACAACTCTGAGAGAAGAACATTTTCCTTGATTTCTGTCTTAACAGGACCATCCCTTACTCTGAGATTATGCCCTCTAATCCTAGTCTCCCATAAGGTGAGACAACCTCTTCACAACTACCCTGTCAACCCTAAGAATGTTTTAGATTTTAATAAGGTCTCTGAAATAGCTCCAGCGTGGCCGATATCCCGTCACCAAGTCACCCTTTATTTACACGTGGAGAGTCCTTGACACTGATCCAGCTCCCTCAGAGCCAGCTCTGAGTGAATAGAACCTCTGACACTCCTGTTTATGTATTTTTTTGCACCCGGATTATGTGAGTGTAAGTGCAGGGACTCCGCGAAGACATCATTGTGCAAATAATTGTAATCAATATTTCTACCACCAGGAAAAACACCCATGTGGCCAGGGAACCAGTAACAATCAAAGCCCAATAAAGTCAATGCTTACATGAATAAAGTGAAGGGGAAGGGTAGGGATTAAATCAAAATAGAAACTCCCGTTTATATCTGTCAGCCAAAGCACCCTGATTGGATCCAATTAACAGCCCCCAACAGGGAATTCATATTCAGTGAGGTCCACCTGGCTGAGATAGTAGGAACTGCAGATGCTGGAGAATCCGAGACAACAAGGTGCAGGGCTGGATGAACACAGCAGACCAAGGGTCTAGGCCCAAAACGTCAGCCTCTCTGCTCCTATGATGCTGCTTGGCCTGCTGTGTTCATCCAGCCCTCCACCTGGCTGACCTTGTTACAATCACTACAATTCCCTCTGATTCTTCTAAACCTCAACAAACTTACTAAATTTCTTCTCATTTTAAAAAAAAGCTCCATACTCAGTGTCAACATAGTGAACCTTCTCTGGACTGCCTTCACTGTATCCACTGCTGCGTCAAAGGAGGTCAACTAACTCAGCCTAGACTGGAGATATTACATATTTATTCAAAAGATTCTTGCTTCAGTTTACACAATGTCTTGTGATGAAACCACACTGACTTACTGTTGGGTATGGCTTCCCGCAGAGTGAGTTACCAACATATATGGGAAGAGCACAAAGTATGATTATGGTAGATGATCAGCAGTGATCTAGAATGGCTGAGTAGGCTCAATTGGTTGAATGGTCTACTCCCTTTCCTGTGTGTCTACCTTGAGTCAGGTTCTAAGAGGTCAAATTTCATGTGCTTTCCTTCAGGAAGGGTATTGGTATGAATCAAGAAACCTTTTAATCCTTTTCATTATTTGGTTACATGGTTCTTTAATGGCACAAAATTATTTGCAAGTGTAAAAGACCAGCTTTCAAAAATATGGAGGAAATATCAGTAGCCTACAAATTTCAAAACTGATGGACTGGAAAAGACCTCCTGCACCATTCAACTTCACTTCTAATGCCTTCTGCCAATTCTCTTTTCACACCCAAACTCGCAATGTTCAGGGGAGTAGTCAAAAACCAAACAAACATGCAGGCTGATTGGGGGAGAAATATAATTTTGTTTGAAACATTATTTTGAATATGTCTTGTGATATTTTTCAGAGAATTGCAAACCTGGTACCAGATTGAATGTGATGTAATGGAAGGGTCAAGAGACTTTTTCCATGGATACAAAGGCAGAAACAATAACAACAATAAACTGTGGGATAATGCATTAACAAAAGAATTAGGAACGAATGGATTGGAGAACATAGGATTTTCCAGGTATTTGTTTTTCAATCTGTCATTGCCAAAGAAGTTGTTGAATGTAAAAGCAACATTACGTTAAGAACATCGCCTTTTCTTCAACTTACAATCAAATAGAAGTCCCTGTTCAGTTGATGAGTTTACTGCTTGATGTGAATGAAACTGGGCCACAAGGGGCTTTGACCATCCAATGTTGATCATGTGAGAGGGAATAAAAAGCTCTCATTTCTTTTTCAGGGATCTTTGCTAGACAGTGAGTTGGTTTCAATCAATGTCTCATTGCAAAGTAACCACCTCTTGGAGCGTAATCAGCCACTAGGGAATTACAGAGGAGTATGAATCAGTGCTTTTTGTGAATGTGGAGTAAATTATAACAAAATACCATTCTGCTACTGTGAAAGAATGTATACAGATGTTAATAATCATTCCCTGCTATCTTCTTTATGTCTGGATTTTCCAGAACAAATATAATAAAAATACATTTGCAGTGAACTGCCATCTTAGCTGTAAAATAGAAAGCCCCATGCCCTGGAGCTTGGCTCAGTCAAGGAGTTTTGAGCTATTAAATAGATGGTGGTGTAAAAGTAAGATATTTATAAGGAAGCAGTGTGATAGAAAGTAAGTGATTTTGTATATGAGGGGTCATTTATCATGTTCTTTCTTGATGGTCACAGCAGAAATAGGTTTAAAAGTAGCTATTGTTTGCTGTTTCTGCTGCCTTTAAAGGATTTAGTGGCAGTGTGGTGTTCCAATGTATCTGCTGCTCATTTCCTTCTAGGTGGTATAGGTTTGTGAAGTGCAGTTGAAGGAGGCCTGGTGAGTTGCTGGAGTGCATCTTGTAGATGGCATACAACATTGCCGTTGTGTGCAGAAAGTGAGGGGAGTGAATGTTTAAAGAGATGTGTGCTGCCTGTCAAGTCGGTTATTTGTTCTGATTGTTATGGAGTAACTTGTGTTGTTGGAACTGCATTTTTCCGAAAACTGGAGCGTATTCCATCACACCCCTGGCATGCCCCTTGTAGATGGAGGACAGACCAGGAGGGTCAGAAGGTGAGTAATTCACCACAGCATTCCCAGCTTCTGACCTGTTCTTATTGGTACAATGTTTACAATATATAGCTGGTTCACTGAGTTTCTGATCAATGGTGACCCCTCAGGATGTTTCTATTGGGGGATTCAGCATGTTAGTTCCATTGAACATCAACAATTGAAAGATTATCTCTCACAGGAGATTGTCATTGCCTGACATGCAAGTGGTGTGAACATTACCTGGTATTATTCAGCCCAAGCCTGAATTTTCCTGGATCTGGCTGCACGCAGTCATGGTCTGCTTCAGTATCTAAGGAGTTGCAAATGGCACTAAACGCTATGCAGTCACCACTAAACATCTCCAGTTCTGCATTGTGAGAAAGGGAAGGTAATTAATAATGCAGCTTAAGATGATTGGGCCTAGGATACTACCCTGATGATGTCCTGGTGCTGAAATGATTGGGTGCCAACAACTTCACCTAGCTTCCTTTCATGCTAGATATGACTCCAGTCAGTCAAGGTTTGCCCTGATTCCCAATGTCATCAGTCTATAGACAGTAATGATAATGTCTGGGGGAAGGAGGGAGAGGGGTGTTGGAAGACAAGTTTGTTGTAAAGCATAACCATGTTGGAAATGGATCAATGACAACAAAAGATTATTGGACACTTATTTCTATTGTCACTTTAAAGTTCGAGGTCAGGAAGCATTTTTGGTTTTGTCATATTGAAAGTAGTAGCGGGTTAAAGTACTTTATGTATGCTACTTGCACTAGTACTGTTTATGTATAAGTCTAATGTGCAATACGTTTACGGCAAGAAACACCTCCTGGACTTCACTGCCACGGCCTTTTACTGTAGTGAGCCCTAGCTCTACAAGTGCCCTGTTCTCCTGGTCATCTGATGTTTTTGACCAGAAATGTGTGCAATCAATCAAACCACCAATCCAAAGAAGGACTGTTGTTCAGTGCTAATAATTGCAGTAAACATCTTTGCTTAACTTCTTGCATTTTGATAAGTTTGCACTGTATGTGTTAACTTTTAATGGCTGAGCCCAGTACCAGTGGCAGTTATAACTTGGTATGGCCATTCTGCCCTGACAGCTGCTGGGCCACCAAACCCTCAAGTGTTTGAAACCTCGAGCGCCAGCCAACTGATGACTCTGGTAGAGAAGGTGCTGGAGTACATGTCCATGACATGGTAAGCAGTACAGCAGGACGTGGCACTTTCCAGGTTTTCAGTCAGTAATGCTTGGTTCAGAGTGGTGACATAAAGCTGTAAGCATTTGGCTCCCTATGAAAGGGAAGTACCAGGTTAAAAGACCCTAGTGTATTGTGACTGACTACTACCCCCACGTTAATGGAACCCTAAATATGACTGTGGAAGGATCAATCTGGTATGCAACAACTAAAGTATAAATGATTAGGCTCTGACAGCAGATGTCAAACCAACCTGGCTTACAGCAGTTCTAGATGGAATGTGGAAGACACATAATTAATGTACTGGCATTACTGTCACTAGACAGAGATAGTAGGAACTGCAGATGCTGGAGAATCTGAGCTAACAAGGTGTAGAGCTGGATGAACACAGCAGGCCAAGCAGCATCAGAGGAGCAGGGAGGCTGACGTTTCGGGTCTAGACCCTTCTTCAGAAATTACTGTCACTAGGCAACCAGGTTTAGGACAATTGAACATAGTGGAAGGTAGATCTGTCCTAAATTAGTCATAAATATAGTGTGATTGCAAGTGCCCCAACACTGTAAGTGTGTTCACGTGTTGAGCCAGTTCATAGCAGCATGGTCCTGATGCACACTGAGCATGGCGAACCTCATCCAAGTATATATGCCAATTGCAGAAACTCATGATGCTGTTGATGAGCTGTATGCAATTTTTCAAAGAAACGTCAACACCATCTCTAAATGTGAGAGATTGACCATAATGAGAGACTTGATGTGAAAATTGGAAGTAGTGCTTTGGCTTGGGTGAGCAGAGTTTTTTACTGTGGAGAAAAATCGATGAATTGGCTGACTGACAACAGTCGTCTTTCTGGAAGTAAATGCTTTCAGTATTCTGAAATAGAACGTTACACATAAATATTCCCCAGTGGACAGTGCAGAAGTATGGTTTATTATGTTTTGATGATAACATGTAACAGTAGAATGTACTGATTACAGAATCTGGCTAGAGCAGATTGTGGGTCTGACCTCAGCTGGTATTGGGTCAAACTTAGACCCATGTGGTGGAGACAGAACTTAGAAAGAGAAACTGTCTCAAATGACTGATTGTTTCCCTAAGATCTCTGGTATGTTTGAATAATGAGAGATGGTTTCAACTAGGGAAAAGGTACTAACTCGAAAAACATGCTTGTCTGCTATAAAAATTGTGGTGAATATAATGTGTTCAAGAAGCCCTGGATAACAGCTCAATGCCTGAAAATGATAGAAAGTAGCTGATACACTAGGCAGAGAGACCATCAAAGAGTGCCTTACTAAGATCTCTACAAAAAAGTGAAAAATACTTGCAGAACAGCCAGAAAGACTGGGCTAAAAGAAAGGGTACAGATAGCAGAAGATGAAGATCATACAGGACAGTCAAAGAAGTGTTACTGCTGGCAAGGTGTGAAAGTGGGTCAAATAGGAATATAACCTAAAGTTAATTAAATAAAGGAATAGTGGCATCAATACTTATATAGTCCACATGCAGGTTATACAGCCTGTAACTTGGGAAGAGATGGAACCAGAAGGGCAGATCTGTGAAGTTGAACATGCAGTTCAGAAGCTGGACAACAGTGAAGCAACAGTCCATGATGATGTACCTACTGAAGAGTAGAGGAGTGACAGCTGCCAGAGCCACAAAATAAGTCATTTGAGCTGAAATGGAGACATGAAATTTGACCAAATAATTGGCTAGTTTCTAATCTGGTAATATTGTCAAAAGGTGAAGGCAGCTTTGCAACAATGAGCTTGATGATACATGTCTCAGAAATGCTGCTTGAAATGATCAAAGGCCCTCAGACTTCAACACACAAGAAACTGCTGAGGAAAAGTTCCGTTTCACCATGGGCAAAGGGACATCACATGCCATTCAAGTGCTGGACAATATAATCGGGAAACATGTGAAAAAGCAACATGAGAAGAAATTCTGAGTCCACTTTGTAGACAATGCAAAGGCGCCACGTGGTAAACCTGTGAGCATTTTAAATTCCACATCACTTTATCTGGCTCATTTAGAAACTCTGCAAATGGATAATGTGTTGTGCGTATATCTGGTGACAAGACAGACAGAGCCATTCAGTTTGGCAAATATGTCAGGCAAGGATGCTGTCTTTCACCAGCTCTCCTGTCCAAGGATATCTTGAGACTAGTACTGATGGTCACAACCTCTGGAGCAACAGAGATGCTGATGACACTTCCTTAATGGCCAGAGACTAACATGATGGCTGAAGAGCTGAGAAAGTCAAGTCTGTAGTGAAGGTGGAGCATCGACAATGAAAATGATAGAAAGTAGCTGATACACTAGGCAGAGAGACATACTTTTATTGAATTTATAGTGAGACAAGTGCGACAATTTGGTCCACAACCATTGCAAAGATAGATGTATTTCGATTGCTGGCATTGATGGGACAGGGATATTGAAATCAAAACAAGGTTGCCAATTGCATCTGAATTAGCAAGAGAGGAATTAAAATATTGTGCTGGATGAGTGCAAGAGCTGGCTGGAAGAGGTTTACAACTTTTGAAATGAGGCTCCGATAAAGAGTTTTTTGCAGTCAACCAGACAGAGCAAAGAACCAATGAATTTGTCCACAGGAAAATCAGATTCCCAGCTTATCATGCTCTTTTAGCTAAAGAGAGGAGGCAGGAATTGAGAAAATATGACCACTGGCAAAAGCAGGCAAGAATCTGGTGTTGGTGACACGCAAAGATGGATCATCAAAGAAGAATAAGCCATGTTGAATTTGGGCTAAATGGAAGGACAACATCAAAAACTGGGGTGAGGAAAGAACAACAATGGTTTGCTGAGTTGCAGTGAGCAGGAGGAGATGTCTATGACCTCTTGTGCGTCGTTCTGAACTAAATGCCTAAGGGAACGTGAGTAGAAAGTAAGCCCAGTTTAGTTAAATGAAATTCTTCTGAAACTGCAGTAAAAAAGATTTTTTAAAAAATACTTGATTATAGGATGAGGGTGTTGCTGGTTAGGCCAACATTTAATGCCCGCCCCAATTGCCCAGAGGGTCGTAAAATGATCAGTCACTTTCCTATGGGTCTAGAGTCACATCTAAATCAGACCAGATAAGGATGATAGATTTCCTTTCCTGAAGGATATTAATAAACCATACAGGTTTTTACAATAAGCGACAGTGATTACTTGGTTGCCATTTGGCCAGCTTTTAATTCTAGATTTATGTTGAATCTAAATTTCACCATTTGCCACGGTGGGATTCAAACCTATGACCTCAGAACACTAAAATAAAACAAAGAACTGTGGACACTGGAGATCTGTAACTAACAAAAACAGAAATTGTTGGAGAAACTCTAAAGAGAAAACGCAAGTTAATGCTTTGAGTCCAGTGACTATTTCCATCTAAAGAAGGGTCACTGGACTTGAAACGCTAGCTCTGTTTTCTCTCCATAGATACTGCCAGACCTGTGGAGTTTCTCCAGCAATTTTTTTTTTCATCAGAACATTAGCGAGGGGTTCTGGATTACTAATCCATTGTCATTACTCCTATGCTACTGCCTGCTGCTTTGAGCACTAATATTACTGTGTGTAACAATTTGAATCCTATTTGCTTTGAAAATGAATTTCAAAGCCTACACAGCATATTGTGTCGTGTGGTACAGAGCCATTTAACTAGTTTGGTTCTCGTTTAGATCATTGCTCTCCCTGAGTTTCATCCTTAAGGTCAGGATGATGCTTATGCTGCTACACTTTTGTTCTATCACTTGCACTAATGAGAACAAATATCAGGCAGGATTTCTGACCAATGGGCTTGTAGGGAATCCTTTTGTATCTACATCAGGTGAGGAACAAGATCAGATTTGCTTGTATTGACCTCTCGCAATGGAAGTGCAGTAAGCTCACCCATGAACAATGGTTTTGGAAAGTAAAAATAACGAATTGTGTTTGAACTTCAAAAAGATGTTTTTTAGAAATGATTTTATAATCTTGATTACTGTGAATACTGTTAGCTTTTATTTTATTGAATGCAGGTGCCAAGACAAGACCACAAAGGACTTTGAAATCACAGCAGGTTGCAAGGAAAATGGATCCCAAAAATGTTTTCAGCCATTGAATCCACAGGTTTCACGAAAATGCGAATTCACGGAGTCAGTGATTTTATTGGATTCACCAACTGACAGGCACATTGAGATTTGTCAGTTTCAACAATCTCAACATAAATCTGATCACCATATTCCGAGACATCATCCTTGACACAGGATTTGCTGAATACCTGTTGGTATAATTAAAGCTGAGCAGACATGGGTACAGAACATAACCTACTTGGAAGTGACGTGTGCCTTATGACTATGATTAACATATCAGCGGACTTGATTTTATTTAAATTTTATTGAGGAAATGTTTATATTCAAAGAAAAGAATGTTCACCAATGACAATCAGCCATTTCAAGGAATTCCTGTTTCTGTGTATCTGTTCGAAGATCATGAATAAACATTGGCTCTAGACAGGCATTAATTATTAAATTGGAATTTACTATAGTGCAGTACTTGAAGCATGGCAGTTATTAGTTACTCCTTGGTAACTCTTCTGCAACAATTGTATATATCTTAAAGTCTGTTTAGTACAGTTGTTAAACTAATCATTTGCACTTATTAGTGGCATTTCTCATATACTTGCAAATTGAGGTAATTAAACCATTATTGCACTAGATAATTTCAGGTCTGTGATATTTAGGATGAAATTCAGCAACTTCTTTTTGTTTCCCTTTATTTGTTGACACGATGAGGGTGTCACTAGCTCGGCCAGCATTTATTGCCCATCTCTAATTACCAGAGCAAGCAAGTGGTTTCCTTCCCCAAAGAACATTAGTGAACCAAATGGGTTTTTCATGACAATTGGCAATAGATTGATAGTCATCATTAGACTCCTAATACCAGATACTTATTGATTTCAAATTCCACCAGCTGCCATGGTGGGATTTGAACCCAAGACCCTAGAACATTACCTGGGTCTCTGGATTAACAGTCCAGCAATAATACCACTGAGCCATTGCCTCCCCTTGCCTCAAGAACTCTTCATGCAGTCATTCTACAATCAAGACAAGATAAATGTCAGAATGATATCATCAAGTCCTTCCTCGTTGAATTAACATCGAATAACTACATAGATAATACCCTGTGTATAAGGGAAATCAAAAGTCGAGATTTGAAAATATCTTCACAAACTGAAGCTTACACATAGCAGTTACTGTCAAGGTATCTTTCTGACTATTCATTTTGACCATGGGATTTTCTTAGTGTTGAAAAAGATCTGTATGGGCCAGCTCTGTAAATGCTGGATTGCTGGTCTGCACTGTTTAAGTTGCTGAAGCAAGATTAAATTTGATTATACCAGTATTCTGCAGCATGTGTACAATAGATTGTTCCAGAGTCCCTTAAAGATCAACCCTGGGTCACCTCCTCTTTATCCATATGATAGATCATCATTTAGATAGTTGGGATCAGTTTCTGTGTTCATGGTGCTGATGAACTCCATACTCTCTACGCACCATCTCATTATGCTGCATTGTCTGTGTTATCAGGCTGCCTGTCTAACTGGGATGAATTGCAATTTTCTCCAGCTAAATGTTAATGAGATTAAAGTTATTGTGTTTGATCTCCTGTGCCAAACTCCACTGTTGCTATCAATTTCATTCACCAGATGATCCCACCTTACTGCCAATTACCTTGAGCCAAGCTCAGTGTCCTGTTTGACCCTGAGCTAAGTTTTCGATATATTTCGGATCTGTGGCAAAACTGAAGCAGATGGAGATCAATGTAAGTGAGGTTATCCAATTTGGACCAAAAATGAATAGATTGGGGTATGTTCTAGATTGTGTGGAGGGTTCATGTGCACAGCTCATTAAAATGCCACAAATAGATACAGAAAATAATCAAGAAAGCTAATGCTGGAATGCTGGCCTTTATATCAAGCAGACTGGAGCAATAAGGATTCCGAAATTATGTTGCATTTATACAAAACCCTGATGAAACCCCACTTGGAGTATTATGAGCAGATCTGGGCACCATATCTTAGAAAGAATTTCTAAGGCCTTGGAGGGAGTACAACGTAGGTTTACAACAATGATATCTGGACTTCGTGGGTTAGGTTACGAGGGGTGATTTATACAAATTAGGCCGGTTTTCTCTAGAGTTTAGAAGTTTAAGAGATAATCTGATCAAAGCCTTCAAGATCTTAACAAGAAAAGACAGGGTGCGTAAGGATAAAGCATTTCCACTGGTTGGGGATTCTAGAACTAGAGGGCATAGCCTGAGAATTAGAGTTACATTCATCATGAGAGATACTAGGAAGCATTTCTACACACAAAGGGTGGCAGATATTTGGAGCTCTCCTCCACAAATGACAGTAGATGCTGGATCAGTTGTTATTTTTAAATCTGAGATAAATAAATTTTTGTTAAGCAAAGATATTAGGGGATATGGGCTAAAGGCAGGTGTATGGAGTTGGGCCACAGATCAGCCATGATCTCATTAAACGGTGGAGCACGCTTGAGAGGCTGAATGGCCGACTCCTATATTTTTGTAGTAGTTACAAAGACTGGCTGCTTCCCTCTCCATAATATCTCATGACTGTACATCTACCTCAGCCCCTTTGGTCACTCAAATTGTAACCCGTAGATGTTTTGGTGCTTTCCCAAGCGATTTCCCACCCTAAAGATATTTGTAAAAGAAAACATAATTTCCTTGCCCCGGAAATAATTTCTCTGTGTTTTGAAGTTGCATTTTCTTCTGCAAAGATCTGATTCCGTCTCTGTTTGTGCAAGATTAAAGATATTAAAATTATAATTTCAAGGTCAACTGTTTATCCGTTGTTTATGAGACACTTTTATTCCTCTGTTTCATTTTAGTGATTGAGATTTCTGATCAAACTATTACTGGATTGCAAAATGAAGTTCTCTCTCATGTTTTAGCATCGACTTGTGACACTATTACTGTCTTTTCCCCTCTTTAGTCTAACTCTCCTTCAGCTTTCTCTTATCTTTTTTTAAGGCTGCTTGTCTTTATTGAAATTCTTCTTATTTAGCATATCTGTCAGTATCTTTCTTAGTGTTTTGTGATTGGATTTAGACCATTCTTGGCTTTTGTCTTACTTTATTCACTGTGTCTTACATCCAAACACCAAATTGATTAGAGCAAATGTGGGCTTTTAACATCTTTTCTTTAGATTCTAGAATTTATTTTAATTTTTAATGATGACCATTTTGTAGCTATGGTAGCTTATGATTTCAGAGAATCGTAATACTTAAGCACCTATCTCACGGTTTTGACAGTAGTTAACTTTTTGTTGGGGACATAGATGCCCAAAAGCACTCAAAGACGTAACACATTTTGCCATGTAGTTTTATGTACTGTCCTGCTCTTGCTGGATTGTAATGTTTCAAACCAGAAAATCTCCTGCTGTCATGAGTTGCAATTATCAAACAAATTTGCATTTTTACACCCACCTTGATAAATCCAGTCCTAATTAATCCTAAGTGTGCATTGTACTTCTTTTAGTCTGTTGGCTATTTGGAAGAAGATCGCATCTGTTTTCTGGACTAGTTTTGGTAAACCGTGTAGATTTTATATTGGACACAGATCCAGTATTGATTATCACATTTAAAGACTATCAGCAAGTCAATCCCATAAGAAACACTTAAGTTGTCTCTTTCAGTTGCTCATGGACAAAATACTCCATAAAGATTATCCTATTTGAAACCAATGTGACACGAAACACTTCAGATAATTACTATGATTTCCCAATCAAGTTTGCATTGCTGTTGGATCTTTAAAACCTGACTCGAATTGTCCGTCGGCTCAGACTCTCTGAAAATGATTAGTCATTTTAATCTTTCTTGTATTCAGGATCTGATTATGAATTCATTCATTCAATGAGAAATTGTAATGCAAACCTCTCAAAAAAACTTTTTCTAAAAAAAAAAGCAACATTGGAATATTTAAGATGACATATGGGACTGAATGTTCCCAACTCCTGAATGACGGGGGCAATGATGAGTCAACTGGAAAATACAGCAAGAACGTAAAAATTAGATTCTCAGCCTCAAAGAAATAAAATTCCGATTATTGTTTCCATCCAAGGTTTTAATGTCTAGTTGAGATCCTGCTAGTGAGTGGCAAGGGGGTCTATTTGCAATCATTGGCATCTCAATATTTCCTAATTACATTTTGTTTATATACAAGAATGAGCTGCCAGAGGAAGTGGTGGAGGCAGATGCAATTACAACATTTAAAAGACATTTGGATAGGTTGATGAATAAGAAGGGTTTAAAGGGATATGGGCTAAATGGGACTAGATCAGTTCAGGATATGTGGTCGGCATGGACGCGTTTTTCCGAAGGGTCTGTTTCCATGTTGTATAACTCTATGACTCTAAGTTGCTATTTTTCCAGGTAGCAGAGAGAAACTAGATGGCGCCAATTCCCACCACGAAACTAAATGATGATTACCGGCAGATCCAGCTTGTCATTTGCTTTTCCAAGCCTCCATGTTCGTGAGCATTCCCAACACCTGGGGCAGGCTCTGAGGGTAGAGTCGACCTGCATCCACTGTCTGCAAAGGTTGGCATCAGAATTGCACCAGCCTTGACACATCATCATGCCCGATCTCTGACTAACTCATAATAAATTTCACCACATCAATACTGCACTCTGAAGCTCACCAACACCTTACATTGCAGTGTTGCTGCCAGGCCACTTTGGATGGTTGCAGCATCTTTGCTTTGCCTTTCCACACATTACCACTTCATTCAGAACTTACAGCCTCACAGAATTTCTGTTTTTGGCTTGCCTTTTAGTGCTGACACAAAACCAGGCAGCTTGTCATATTAGTCAGCAATGATCTGTCAAGGGGTGGACTTTTTGCCGTATGGCATTGTGTTACCTATACCTATCCCATGTGCCAGCAATTTATGTGGTAAACAAACTGAATGTGCTTCAACCAAATAAACATATCTCCAACTCTAAGGAGAGTGGGCCTCAGGTGGGGCGGCACGGTGGCTCAGTGATTAGCTCTGCTGCCTCACAGCACCCGGAACCCCGATTCGATTCCACCCTTGGGCACCTGTCTGTGTGGAGTTTGCACATTCTCCCCGTGTCTGCGTGGGTTTCCTCTGGGTGCTCCAGTTTCTTCCCACAATCCAAAGATGTGCAGTTTAGGTGAATTGGCCTTGCTAAATTGCCCATGGTGTTCAGGGATGTGTATATTAGGTGGGTTATAGGGAGATGGGTCTGGATGGGATGTTCTGAGGGTCAGTGTGGACTTGTTGGGCCAAAGGCCCTGTTTCCACACTGTAGGGATTCTATGATAATTTTATGAAGTCTGCTGAGGGTGGGAGGGGAGTGGGGTAGTGGTGACAGGAGTGTCATCAGGCAGGGAGTGTCACTGCCATCAGTGAAAAGCATTGTCTAATCTCAAGGATAGTAGGAACTGCAGATGCTGGAGAATCCGAGACAACAAGGTGCAGGGCTGGATGAACACAGCAGGCCAAGCAGCATCATAGGAGCAGAGAGGCTGACGTTTCGGGCCTAGACCCTTCTGATGAAGGGTC